TAAAGTATCTCAAATATAGGTTCTTACTCAGATATAAAGTATCTCAGATATAGGTTCTTACTCCGATATAAAGTATCTCAGATATAGGTTCTTACTCCGATATAAAGTATCTCAGATATAGGTCCATACTCATATATATAGTATCTCAGATGTAGGTCTTTTCTTAGATATGAAGTATCTCAGATATAGATTCATACTCTGATATAAGGTATCTTAGATATAAAGTATCTCAGATATAGATTCATACTCAGATATAAGGTATCTCAGATATAGGTTCTTACTCAGATATAAAGTATCTCAGATATAAGTTCTTACTCAGGTATAAAGTATCTCAGATACAGGTTCTTACTCAGATATAAAGTATCTCAGATATAAGTTCTTACTCAGATATAAAGTATCTCAGATACAGGTCCTTACTCAGATATAGGTTGTTACTGAGATATAGGTCCTTACTCAGATACAAAGTATCTCGGACATAGGTCCTCACTCAGATATAAGGTATCTCAGATATAGGTTATTACTCAGATATAAAGTATTTCAGATATAGATTCTTACTCAGATATAAGGTATCTCAGATACAGCTCCTTACTCAGATATAAAAGTATCTCAGATACAGATCCTTACTGAGATATAAAATATCTGAGATGTAGGTCTTTTCTCAGATATAAAGTATCTCAGATATAGGTTCTTACTCAGATATAAAATCTCTCAGATACAGGTCCGTACTCCGATATATAGTATCTCGGATATAGGTTCTTACTCAGATTTAAAGTATTTCGGATATAGGTTCTTACTCAGATTTAAAGTATTTCAGATACAGGTTCTTACTTTGATATAAAGTATCTCAGATACAGGTCCTTACTCAGATATAAAGTATCTCAGATATATGTTCTAACTCAGATAGAAAATATCTCAGATATAGGTCCTTACTCAGATATAAAGTATCTCGGACATAGTTTCTTACTCAGATCTTACTCAGATATGAAGTATCTCAGTTGTAGGTTCTTACTCAGATATAAGGTAGCTCAGATACATTTTCTTACTTAAAGATATAAGGTATCTGAGATATAGGTTCTTACTCAGATATAGGTTCTCACTTTAAGAAATCTGTTTCTTCTCTGTATGTAACTAGTCTGGTTTTGATATTCACGAAACATATGATTGGACAAAATATTAAATAAAGATGAAATATTTTCTTTAACTAGCTGTTTCCAATTTGCATGTTTGTTTTGAAAATGAGATAATTTAATATGTCTTAAATGTTGTAGTTTATGGTGTCTATATACTTTGAAATATTTGTTTCAATTCCAACCAATCATAGCTTTAGTTTTTCTAATGCCCACTCTTATTTGTTAGGTATCCAAAAGTTCTAGAACAACCAGGTTTCAAAATGGCAGAACATATTTTTGCCAGCAAGAATTTTTCCACATCTGATCTATCCTTAGGACTGAAGGAGAACATGGCCTACATTCAGAAGCAGCTAGATGATGGTAAGCAAACATTTTAAATATAACTTGTTTGGCTTTCATCTTAAGCCGTTTATGATTCTGTGAAATATGTAGCTTAACAAAGACAAGAAATAACATGGTCTGAAAGTTGACAACTGTTGTAGAGTATCCTGCTGCTACTACTAACTTAGCAGTTGTTGCAGAGATATTGATGAAATATTGCTGTCTTTAAAGGACATGCTATACAACACTGATAAGTCATCAAGGAATGTAATCTTTCAATGAGTGCTGCCTTTTAAAACTCTTTCCATATGGGTTAGGTGCATTGCACGTAATTCATAACCAGGAGATTAGTCATACTATAACTTTTGATAATGAATATATATATGTCTTCAGACTATCAGTAAAGATTACAAAATTGAAATTTATTTTAAGTATTATTACAAAAAAAATTTTTTAATATATGGTTTCACATTCACTCAAAGCTTTGACTGCTTGATATACAAAGCGATTTTCATATTAAGATTAAAAATATTTTTCTTCATCTGAAAATTGTCAAATTTCCGTTGTGTAAACTCTGAAACCTTTTTTAAATAAATAAACATTTTTTGTCAGGAAATCTTTGTATTTTATCTGCTATTTTCTCTACCCTATCTCTGTAAGACTTCTCGAAACCACTATGTAAAAATTTAAATTAATCTAAATTACCCTTTTTTCTTGCTATATTGATTGCATATTGTAACAAGATACCCCCACTGTTTTATCTTAAATAACTTAAAGTTTGTAACAGTATACATCTACTTATACTTAATTTTATTGATATTTGAACTGTGTCTAACTAATAATCCTGCCACACAAGCTGTAAATCACCCAGTGAATGTGAAGCTCACATTACCATATTGAATTACATAGTGTATTAGTGTATCCTCACGAGGATAACTAATGATTAATTTTTATTGTCTTACCTAATCTACTGTATTTTAGTTTATAATAATCCATAGAATACACATGAAAACAAGAAATTTAGTACTTATCTGGGTCTTTATTTTGCTGTCAACTATCCATGAAGCTTAAGCCTACTTTCTTTATACTAATTGTAACCACTACACTAAATAATGTTTTATTGATTAAATTATACACCTAAGAACACAGAGTAATAGACAATTTCCTATAACAATCATAATTTTTCTGGCTCTCTAGCTATGTAATGTAATATTCAGTTAAGCTCATTGATGAGTTTCCCATGGGAATAGAATTTCGAACTAGAAGCGAAACATACAAATCTCTTCACAGAAAACAACATAATATAATATGTCATTTTGTAGTTTAAAATTTGGCTTTGTAATAGTATACATCTATTTATAATTAAATTTTATTGTTTTATTACCTTTGAACCATGTTTAACTACTATCCATGCCATTATAAGTTGTAAATCACTTGAGGAAGATTCAGCTCATGTTACGCTAACAAATTATATTACCCACGAGCTACTACGAACTGCTCGCGTGTGTGCCTCATGAAACATTTTTATTATTGTTACGTATCTGCTCGTTTGTTAATTTTTGGTATAAATTCTTTCCTGGGAACTTCAGCGATAGAAGTCCTTTCTTAATTAAAACTAGTTTATTCTTTCTCGATACAAATTTTAGTAATACACAGAATTTACACAGTCACTTTAACTTAACTACTTTTATAAACACACACTATAAATCACAGTGATTCACACACTTTACTTACGGTGCCTACTGCTCGCTTGACTCCATTATCTCTCTTCAATCTATCTCTGGCTTATATACTAAAAAAGAGGGCATCTAGCAAATGCTGGGACAATCGTGAGGTTCCCCGATAAGTCACGATTCTTCTAGAAACTCCAGCTCGCATGCTCCCAGCGTCACGTGACTTCTGCTGTCATAACAATATAAAGGAACAATATAAAGATATTGAATTCATCATTTAGATACCTTCATGTTTTCACCTGATTCATGGTATTGTTACATCTCTAGTCGTTTGTTAATTTCCCGGTATAAATTATTCCTGAGGAACTTCAGTGATACAAGTCCTTTCTTAAATAAAACTAGTTTATTCTTTCTCAATACAACTTTGCAATACACTTAATTTCCACAGTCACTATAACTTAAACACAAGCTATAATTCACAACGATTCACGCATTTTACTTACGACTTGACTCAATTATCTGTCTCTATATCTGTCTATCTGCAATTATATCTCCACTTTATTTGCCGAGCTTATATACTAAAATAGAGGGTGCCTGGAAAAGACTAGAGTTGCCAGTAAAAGTGATGATCCTTCTAGAAACTCATGACGTGTTACCAGCATCATGTGACTACCCCTGTCATAACAGTATGTTGGAGGTTATCAGTTAATAATTGTTTATATAAAGGAACATGTAAGATATTGAATTCATCATTTATATACCCTCTTGTTTTCACCTGATTCTTAGTATGTTATATGTTATCAGTTTATAATTGTTTATATAAAGGAACATGTAAGATAATTAATTCATCATTTAGATGGCCTCCTGTTTTCACCTGATTCATGGTATGTTAGGTGTTGTTAAATGTTCTTTATACAATACGGTTTGAATGTTTTTGTTTTTTTCAGGTTATCTAACAGAAAGGGGTTACTTAAAACAGAAATCCAAACTGATTCAGGATTATATGGAAAGTTTATCTCATATTGGTCAGCCTTCTCCAAGTTTGGCTGTAGCCAAGCATGCCAATCAGACAATTGAAAGTCATGGTTATTTAATCAGTGATGTACATAAAAGCTTTAATAGTGAACATACTGTGATTAAAGAAATTTATCCAAAATTTAAATATAAAACTAAAAATCACTTAGGACAACCAACTGTTTCTATGAACAAAGAAGAAGGAAGAGTACAGAATGGAGTAAAAGTCCCTGATGCTCAAATGGTAGAACAGCATAAAGAACTTCAAGAAAATGAAGATATCAAATTTCGAAGATTGATGGGATTTGAAGAACCAGCCATTAAATTCCATCAAGGAACGCTACCTTGGGAAAAGCTAAGAATATTTGATTCCCTAGTTAAGGTAATCAGTGGTTAATATATATTTCTTTCCTTATAGAGTACTTTTTTGTAAAAATGGATATTTTTCATTCTTCAGTTTTTTTGCACTTATTGTTTTAAATATTAAACTAAAACATCAGTACTGATCATGTTTCATGTGAAGCTGTATGGGTCAGAGAAGCCAGGAAGATTCAGTGATTTTTTTATTTGCATTCTTGACCAAGGAAGCATCTGGGAATTTCATTTTACAGACAAAAATTAAGTGAACATCATGATACTTCTAGGACTTGGATGGCAGAAATATAAATTACCATCAATGCCAAAAAATTCCATACAGGTTAATTCAGGCACACTTAGCACATCGGTATGTTTATTTTATGCATACATATTGTTTTTCCTACTTCAGACTTTGTTTACCATCGATTGTCACTGTGTATGAATTTGTATAAACAATAGTTAGGTTCCCCCTTATGTAGTGTGTAAGGCTTCATAAAACTAAGGAATGGAGTATTATTTTACTACAGGGTAAAATATATTAACAAATTAATATTTAATTGATTCAATAATACAATAACAACAACTTTTACAGCAGACAATTCCTTATTTTAAAGATTACAACATTTCAAAACATACCACCCGCTGACACTTATAGTTATTATTCGACCTCCATAGTTTCTACAGTCTATTATACTGACCCCCTCATCCTAAATTTCATATTTTCACAAATGCCTTGCTTCAGGGATTGGGTGCATGTACCAGCAGTTAATAATTCCAGGACGATGAACCCTACACATTATTTTAGTCCTTCTTGCTCTTCCAAAGGCATGTGTTTCTCATTGAGGAGGCACTTAGCCCAAGGCTCCTTGTTTTTGGACCTCCTTTCTTGGAATCACTTTTATCATATCACTGTACTAGCTTGCCATGTTCCACAAGTGATGACTGCGGTAGCAGATCAATTTTCTCAACCAAAATAGATTCTCCCAACAGAATAGATGCTGCATCACAAGGTTCTGTCAATTTGGCTCTCATTTTGCAACTCTGTTTGGTAGGTTGGCCTGTCATTGGAACACTCAACTACTGGCAATTTGGTCTCCAGTACCCAACCTTCAGGCTTTGGCAATGGATGCATTCTGATGGGACAGGATTATTATTCTAGGCCTTCCCTCCAATTCATATGTTACCCCAGGCACTAACTATGTTTTCTTTCAACCCATTGTCTGGGCCTGTTGATAGCACCTGATTGGTAGTAACAACCTGGTTTCTGTTTCTGCAATACTTTTAAGAGCTTCCATCATTTTCACTTCTTTTTAGGCCATTTCTGTGGAAGCAACCTTCATTTGACAGGGTTCACATGGCTATCCTGAAGCTCCAGCTTAGGGCATAGGGGTTATGTAGTCTTTCATATGGCATCAGGGTTTAATTTCGAAGGTTGGCATCTATGTGTCTCAGTTTTATTTTTGTTTCATCCTGCAATGCACATTTCTCAATGGAAATAACACATATATCAGCAGTGGTGTCTTTAGAGGAGACTGAATCCACTTCTATCAGAAGTGTCAACCATAACTGGCTCTTTGATGAGGGTTTTTACATCTTCCATAATCTCCCTGTTTACGGCGTCCTTATTGACTACCATTTGGTACTAGCAACTAAATATTCTTTGAGTCCCCAGTACTCTCTGGATTCCTTAGGTTGCTTAGGGTCCTTTGTACTAAACAACCATTCCAGTTACCTACATAATATGTTAATGTTATATTCCATGCCCTTTCTCTACATCTGTTGGTGTCCTGCTTCTCATATGCCATGTATCACCTATATATTAACGTTTATTTTTTGTTGCCACTAACTTTCAGATATAGCCAGTTGGAGTGGTTTACACTGTTTGTCCACAGAACACTTTATCACTCTACCACCATCCTCAGACCAGTTCTTCTTATCCAAGACACTCAAACAGGGAACGGGTTTAATCCTTTTCACCAATTCAACTGATCATTATTTCTCACTTCGATTACCGATCTGATTTCCTTTATTGTCATGTTCAGTGAAGGTTTTATTGCCTGCACTCATGCCTCTCAAGATGCTAGATGATGATTTTTTATTCTGGGCTCTCTTTGAAGGTAAGGAATCTTCTGCGAGTCATGTCTCATCAGATTTGTAATATTGTTTGCATGATTTGGCAGTATCTTCATCTGAGGGTTTTCACTTAACACGTGTAGCTATCTTAACCACTTTGGCTAGATTATCCAGAGGGGTGAGTATTTTTATTTCTACCTTACTTCATTTTCACAGGATCCAACTCTGTGGCGAGTGTTACCCAGGCAGGTGTGCTTTTATCTAACCAATTCATTACTAGCAACCACTATTTCAATATACTTTATACTGGTTACAACAAGCCCTGTAGAAATGAGGAGTTCAATAATACCACCTAGGAGATCACTAGGTGGTATTACCATGCTATCCGGGACTGCCACTACTGGACTATCATGATCCTGCCTGTCCCTGCTAATCACTTGATTGAATAAATTGGGGTTGGTTTGCTTTTAAAAATTTAGGAACCTTGGTTCACCTATTGCACTGTTTCCCAAGCACTGTTCCTCACAACATCCCAATGCACATTACCCCCTCAAATTCTACTAGTGGAGGTAAGGAGTAATCCAGTTTCCAGTGGATTTAGATATGTTATTGTTTAACACTTAGTTTTATATTCATATTGTAGGTAATATTTGCTGGTTTAGGTCAGTTATTGTTTAACACTTGACGTGTTATATTCATATGGTATGTAATATCTGATGATTTAGATATGTTATTCTTTAACACTTAGTGTTACATACATACAATATGTAATATCAGTTGATTTACATCAGTCATTGTTTAATACTTAGTTTTATATACATACTATTACGTCTCTGGTCATTTGTTAATCTCCCGTAAAAATTATTTCCGAAGAACTTCAGTGATACAAGTCCTTTCTTAAATAAAACTAGTTTATTCTTTCTTAATACAACTTTGCAATACACTTAATTTCCACAGTCACTTTAACTTAAACACACACTATAATTCACAATAATTCTTGCACTTCACTTACTACTTGACTCGATTATCTGTCTCTATATCTCCCTATCTGCAATTATTTGTGCCGTCACGTCTCCTCTCCGCTTTATTTTGTGGGCTTATATATTAAAATAGAGGGCGCCTAGAAAACGCTCGGGCCTTCATGATCTTTCTAAAATCTCATGACGTGTTACCAGCATCACGTGACTTCCGCTGTCGTAACAATACGATAAGTAATATCAGATAGCTTAGATATGTTATTCCTTAACACTTAGTGTTATGTACATACGATATGTAATATCAGATGATTTACATATTATTTACCAGCATCACGTGACTTCCGCTGTTGTAACACTACCCCTTTCTTAGTATTGTTTGTTCTGAACAATAACAACTTACATTAAACCAATAGATAATTAACAATAACTTAATTAAATGTACAGCATTTACAAACACAAAATTAAAATTCAACAAAGTCTCTTAATTTTACGGAACGTATCCTCTTCCTTACTGGTTTCTGTCTCATTGCCTTCTGCTTCACGTGGGGTTCATCTGGTCCATCAGGAAACATCCTATTATTGGTAACAGTCACATCAGTGGTAGTAACTTCATTAATGGCTTCACTGTATTCCTTCTCAAAACCGGGTAGAGTTTCTTCTTCGACAGTGGCTTTTTCAGGTGCCATGTCTTCAGCAGTGTCATTTGTTTCATTGTTCACTTCGTCCCAACTGAAATGTCCTGGACCATGATAATGCCAAAGCCTGTTGGCATGCACCACCTTTGGCTTACCTCGCCGACCACATTTTATTTGGAAAGTCACGTCTGAGAGACGATCCCCTATGTCATATAGACCTTCCCATGGAGATGACAAGTTAGGAGACATCCCTTTGGTCTTCCTGGGATTATACAACCACACCTTGTCTCCTGGTACAAAGCTGATTTCAGTAGATCTCTCATCATAACATAGCTTCATCGAATCAGCAGACGTTTTCAAATTTGAACACACTTGATGGTGAATATCATCCATCCTTTCAGAAAACACTTTC